TCAGAAATTGATAAATTCGCTACTCGTGTGAAATATTTTTCCTCTACGCATCTCATTCAAGCTTTGGCTCAAATCGGAAGCTTCATTTGTGGTGTTGATGCCGACTCTTGCTCTCTCCTCCGCACTGCTCGTAACGACTGCACACTCGAGCCACCGTCACGACCTCCACCGTCACAAGAACGAACCTAAAACAAGTCAAGGTTTTCTAGATCTAATATTTAAATTAGGTAGATTGTAGATCTAGTTTTAATATTTCTAATTATTTCTAATTATGTATAATTGTTATATTGTAATTTTAGTTTATAAAATTTGAAAAAAATTCATTATTGTTTCATTTCGAATTTATGGGTAATATTTTGTATTTTGTATAATTGTTTAACTCGAATTTATGGGTAATCTGTATTTTGTATAATTGTTTTATTTCTGATTTTGTGGGTTTTGTTTTTCAATTTTTGATAATTTTGTGGTCGGTGGTGGTGGGTAAGGGTGGTTTTGGGTCAAAGGTGTTTGGTGGGTAAAGTTGGTTTCGGGTGAGAGGAAGTTGATGGTTGTGGGTTGAGGGTTTTTTGGGTGAGAGGCAGTTGGTGGTTGTGTGTTGAGGTTGTTTCATGTGAGAGCCGATGGGTTGAGGTGAAGTGGCGGTGGTGGCTGTTTGGGTGGGCGGCGATGTTGGGTCAGTGTTTTTTAGGGTGGTGGTGGTGGTTTGGGTGGGAAGTGATGGTGGTGGGTAGTAGTGTTGGGTACAGTTGGTTTGGGTGGTGGGAAAACTGGCTGCGGGGTACAGGATGTGGGTGGGTTTTTTTTCTTTTTTTTTCTGTTTTTTTAACTTTTTAGCGACCGCCTTTGGCCGTCGTTAATTCTCAAAATTGCGACTGCTTATAAAAACGGTCGTAAAATTTAATATTTGCGACCGTTTCCCTTGCGGTCGTTGAAAATATTAAAAACGGTCGCAATAAATTGCGACCGTTAAACGGTCGTAATAATTTTTTTTTTGCGACCAAGGAAATAACAACCACCCCTTTACGACCGTTTTTGCTATTTTCTGCAACCGTTAGAGGCGGTCGCAAAAACCTTAATTTTTAGTAGTGTTCTTGAAGAATTGCATGCGGGATACTGCGCCTCCCATATAGGCGGCAGGTCCTTGGCTGCCAGGGCCAGGCGGCACTATTTCTGGTCAACACTTGAGTCGGATGCTATGTAGATGGTCAAAATTGCAACAAGTGTCAAAAATTTGGCAAGCTAATCCATCGTCCGGCCACCGACCTGACGGTCATCCACAACCCAATACCCTTTGCTAAATGGGGGCATGGATATCTTGGGGCCTTATACAACCGCTCCAGGCGGCGAGCGCTACATCTTAGTGGATGTGGATTTCTTTACCAAATGGGTAGAGGCGGAGGCGGTCAAAAACATCAAGACAATAGACGTCATCTCCTTCATCTGGAAGAATATCATCACCCTTTTTGGGGTGCCTATGTCTATGGTTATTGACAATGGTCCTCAGTTTGAGACGCCTCAACTTAAAACTTGGTTGGGAGACCAAAGGGTCTTAAGCTATTCGCATCAGTCGGCCGACCCCAAACAAACGGCCAGGTCGAAGCCTTTAACAAGTTATCTCAGGCGGGATAAAAAAGAAAGTAGAGATAGTTGGCGGCCTATGGGCGGATGAATTACCACATGTCCTATGGGCCATCAAAACAACTGCCAAAGGGGCAACTGGAGAAACCCCATTCCTCATGGTGTATGGGGCAGAGGATGTCTTGCCCATTGAACACTATGAGTCGACACTCCGGATCATGTTGTATGACGAAGAGGCAAACTGGGAGGCCATGCGGCTGACATTGGACTCACTCCCAGAGCGCAGGGGCAATGCCGCCTTACGCCATGAGATCTACCGCTTGAGGATGACTCGGGCTTACAACAAAAGAGTACACAAGCGCCCTTTGCAAGTTGGGAACTTTGTGTTACGGAAGATGGAGCAGTCGGTAGGGCGAATAAGCAAGGGAAAATAACCCCAAATTGGGAAGGTCCCTACCAAATCTATGAAGAAGTAAGAAACGGCAGGCAGCTGCCCAGAACTTGGAATGTAGATAACTTAAAAAAGTACTACTTCTAAGAATTTCGTAAATTTCTCGATTTGTTAATGAGAACATGCCTTCATTTCCAAGCTTGTCTTTTAAATATTTTGTTAAAGCTTCGCTTGCCCAATGTACATGCGGCCCAAGCTCTAATTTTATTACAACACCGCCTGCACAATGTGCAGACGGCTTTACTGTTTTTAATAAAGGGAGCGTCTTCCCCAACAGCAGATGCCCTTAACCCATCTGAAGGTGTCGACTGCACCAAAGCAACCAACCCTACTTATTCAATTTTTACTAAGTTACAAAGACTTAACGACCATCTATTATTTCAAAGAGGCTAATGGCCGGATATCATTATTCAAAATACCGTCTGCTCCAACATGAGTCAGACAACCGGCGACGTCCATTCGGGCGAATTCGTCGAGGAGAAGCATCCCCCATTTGGGTGGCATATTGCTCTACGAACAAAACAAGCGGGCCTACCAAATGCGCTAAGGCAGTGCTCGCAGCCGTTTGATTTAATCTAACTTGAAATCTAAAAAGCGTTCAGTTTTTCGATTGTTCTAGTACAGGCGAAAAACGACTACTGTTTCATTTTAGAGGCTACTCAACCGCCTCTTTTTGTTTTGGGGCAAGACAGGCGGACGACAATTTTTTCATCAAATAGGCTAAGTCAAGAAACTTAGCAGCTTAACTATATTTAACGAGACCTTTGGCCGGATACATTCAAGAAATTGAAACCGCTTGCTCTGCATGGCCGTCTGTCGCTTGTTTTGGAGCAATCACCATAGTGATTGATTGACTTAGAAACCATACATACTTTTCGAAGCATCAATAATTTCTAAGTCAATCAATCCATTCAACCGAAACCAACCGGCATCCGTCCAGGGGCAAGGACATTCGCATGGTACAAATGATCCCAGTTCCAGACTAAGACCAAGCTTATCACTGCACGGGAAAGACCGTAAACAACATAAATGAGTACAACTGATATTCACTCATTCTATGTAAAAAAAAAAATACCGAACACTGAAACACCGACTGTTTTAATTACATCCAATTCGGTTTTCAAAAAAATAAAAATAAATTACATCCAATTCCAAACAGTAAAGCCTTCATGTTAAAATAGCAAAATATTATCCAATAGTAATCTCTCACTTAAAGGATACGCTGATACAACAAAACGAGTTTATTAACAATAAGTTTATAAATGTTGGCATTCGTTATGTTATGTTATGTTGGCATTCGTTATGTTGGCAATTCAGGCTCAGGATTTTTAACAACATCTTTTGTCCTTCTCCAAGTGTACACCAGTTCCACATCACGATGTGAGAACTCTGTGTCTGCGAGGAACAACCTCGGATCCGATCGACCATTGTCTGTGTTTTGATGGGGCTTGGCTTTGTCAGGATAACTGTGCTGGCACAGGCTGGGTTTTTCGAGAGATTGATTCGGATGTTGTCCTAGCTGGTGGTGCTCGGGCTAGTCGAGTCGTCTCTGCTTTTCAGGCAGAGTTGCAGGCTTGTTTGTGGGCCCTTCATATGGCTATCCGCCAAGGTTTTCTTCGCCTTCTCATTTACACGGACTGCGCTCAGTTAGTCTCCTTGCTTGAACGTCATAACTCCTCGGATATTTCTTGCCTCTGGTTGATTCAGGAGATTAAGGAGATTCTCCCTCGGTTCTCTGCATGTCGAATTCGTAAAGTCCCTCGTCAGTGGGTGGCTCCTGCGCATTGGTTGGCTGTTAGGGCTCGAGATCGTCGTTTACTTTTATGGTCTTTTGGTTAGGATTTGCTTTTGGTTTGTTAGTGTTCTTTGTCAAAAAAAAAAAAAAAAACTAAAGAGACTTGAACGATGATTCAAAATCGGTAAACATTAGTGTCAACTTGTTCGTACGATCAATTCCAATGATATGAAAAGAGATCAAATAAGTTCACGTAAGTCAGATATGGTTAACATTGGGCCCCACGAAAGCCCCGTTACAATTGCGTTACATTACTCTCCAGTGAGTGAATTAATATGAAATGTCATGAATAACCCTAAATGTACAAGTACAACAACAAGCGCATACTCAAGAGGTACTCGCCGCATCTCTGCCCTCTTCTCTTCCTCTTTCTTGTTCTTCCACAAATCCTCCCTAATTAATAATTATATCTCATCTTCCACAAATTCAATACCTCCAAAATTAGGGTTAGAACTCAACAATCATATTAGAATCACCATAAACACAATTCTCCCTTCATCCACCATTAATCTTCATAAAGCCCTAGAAATTAAGGTTTGCCCAATTTCGAGGTTCAAGGCTGGGCAATAGCCGAATCGATCATCGACAAGCGATTATTCTCACTACAAATCTGGTTTTGGAGGTCCTTCTGGCTATCACAAGGTAAAGTTCGAATCTTTGCTTCACCATTGGAGTAATTGAATTTTCCTTCAGGAGTTTGTGGATTGTTGGTTTTGATTCATGAATTTCATTGATAGTGTTTATTACAACAAGTGTTGTTGAGTATTACATATTGGACTATCTTATTGTTGTCAATCGTTTCGAGTTGACATTGTGGCTATTTGCTTGGTATATTGGTTTTGTGTGTTGATTTTTTTTGAAAATTGCTATTGTTGGTTGGAAACAATAGGGAAAAGTAAGAAACCAACGAATGTTGACAAAAAGAGAGCACTCAAAGTTGTCTAACTACACAGTAGAAGCTCATACTCATAAGTCATAACAATGATCATTATTATAATCATAACTACATTAATCATAGTCATATAAATGAGAATCCAATATCACCTCAAAGCCCACTGGACTCAATTGAGAGTAGAGCTGTTCAATGGACAGAGGGTCCATCAAAAGCCCTGACCCAGCCCAATTATAAACGGGTCAGGCCCGTCCAATAATTAAACAGGTCGGGTCCTTATAGCGTCAGCTAACCATGAATCCTTACAGGGCTGGGCTGGGCTCTTATAGGGTTTATAATTTTTTGGCTGGACTCTTATAGGGACTATTTTTTTTTTTACTCTTATTGGGTATATAATTACTAGTATTAAAATCAAAAATAAATTTCCAAAGAAATTTCCTCCTTTCTAACGTCAGTTTCAATAAAACAAAAAAAATTCCCTTTCAAAATCCCCTATTTCCCCCAAATGATGAACCCTAAAAAAATTCCCAATTCTAAATCTTCAATTTATCACCTTCTTGCTTGCCGCTCTCAATCGTTGATTCCGTCATATCATTTCAATTACCAAGGTATGTTGTTCGATTTCGCTCAATTCTTCTCGATCATATTCAAGTAGTACATTTTAATTTCTTTTTTCAATTATTTTGATTTGTTTCATCTGGAATTTGTATGTTTTTGTGATTTTCATTATTAATGAGAAGATTAATGTAGTTTCCTATGCAATTTGTATGTTTCTTCTATTGCTAATTTTGTCAATTTAGTTTAGTTTGAAATTAGGAGCTCTGTTTAATAGATCTGCAATGAAATTTGGTTGCGGCTGAATGATTATTTCACCTTTTTAAGATTCTTTTTGCTAAGTTGATGTTGTTCAATAATAGGTGGTTTTCAATAGTTTTTCTAGCTTTGCTTTTTATCCTAATGTGTTCGATAACATTATAAAATTGGAAACAAACTATTTGTTTGCTATTTTGAATGTTCCTTGTTGAATGATTTGCTGGTTTCGTGTAAACGAGTTGCCGAACCTACTGCGTAACATTGTTTTCGCCTTTTGATCATGAATTCATTAGATTTTTGTTCGGAATTCGTAATATTTTCGACCTTTTTAAATTTTAATCGTCAAGTTATAATTTTTGTTCAAAATCCTACTTGGGTTTTCCTTAACATGTAATTTGATTGTTCATATTTGTATTTTCTGGGTATTATATAATGTTTTTGGGTATTTTTTGCTCTCACTATTTTTGTTTGTCTTCAATTGCTGCTATTTAATTTTAATTTCGTCATTTCATTTTTGTTTTTGGGTATTTAACTTTGTTTCCTTGGCACAGCACTATGCAATTCAGCCTAACAAGAGATATTGCGAAGGAACTTAACATTCGAAAGTGACCAATGCCAACGCTGGCCTAGTATATAATTCCTCGGTCTTTGTGAATGAATTGAGTTTCTAGAGTTAGTTTTTGTGATCCAATTTTCCAGTTCAAGGCTCATCATTTGTTCGATGACACTGCTATTACTTGTTTTGATCTTGGTTTTGATGTAAAGGTGTATAGTTGATAGATTGGATGCCATTTGTTAGTATAAAAATGGTTAAAACTTGTGTATCTTGAATTACATTCAATCTGAAGTCAGGCTGCTTGAGCATGAATAGTGTTTTACTCTCTTCGTTTTTATTCAGGTGTCCCATGTTGAATTTTTGTAATACAAAATATTTATATAATCCACTTTGAAACACATTAGCATTTGTTATAGAATGGCATAAGCAGTTGACAAAATTACTTCAATTCACCTGTCTATTTTAAATGGGCCGGGCCGGTCTTAATGGCCCATGGACAATATTGGCCCATTTTGGATTAAACTTGGCCCGGCCCGGTCCATTTTAGATAAAGCCCTGTCCGGCCCAGCCCGGCCCATTGAACAGGTTTAATTGAGAGTCAAGAATCCAATATAAATGGCAATGCAAGACTATGGTGGTCTACTTCATGCCAAAACTGAGGGCACCCCACCTTATAAACAATGAAGTTATTAACATATTTTCACTATGCAATGTTTGTATATAAGTAAATTAATATCTATACAAATACATACATACATACCTATGATATCCTTCTGGTTGTTTCGTATTATTTGTGTTGTTGTTGTACTTTATTCCATTATGCAAAATATTTATAATTTTTTTTTAATGATCTAGGTGAGAATGATGCTGTGGATTGAAGGAGGAGGTGGAAAAAGTGGTGACCTTTCTGCTAGTACTTCTACTGGTACAAGTACTAGTTCTATATACACGCTGCGGTCTCGCAAGGTAATTAGGCAACATGTACCCTCTGGTTTCCCAAAACGGAAGCGAAGTCGTCCCGGCATTTTTAAACCCTCGAAAGCTCTTCTGCAAGAAATTCACAGACTTGTGGAGAAAAAGGAACTAAAACCATTTTGTTGCGACATCCTAAACTTGGTTACTGATGATTGCCACATGCTCTCCTCCAACTCTGACTCTGACTCTCGCTTGTAAGCAACCCACTAGGCCCCTAACCTACTACCTTCCGCGTTATTATCCATTATTTTTATACTCTACTCACTATTATATTATGTGTGTATATATCTTGTCTAATTGTATGTATGTATGTATGTTGTTTGTTTAATCCTATTGCAGTTCTGAGGACTTGTCTCCAGTTCAACTTGCTCAATTTCCATTGTCTACGGTTACTCATCGGTACGGTGGTATTATTTATTGCATTTTCTAACCCATGCACTTGATTATTCTAGCTTATTCATGCATGATTAGCTTTGCTTTTATATATATGGGGTTAGTTGGCCTGGCTAATTAATACTTTTTGTTGTTTCTTTGTTATTGTTATACTGTCTTATACAGCAGCACTCGCACTCCCAAAGTTGTTGACCGTTCTTGTAGTCGGCTTAAAGAGAATCTTCAAGCCAATCTTGAGTTATATGCTGCCATGGCAAAGTTAGCCCTAGAATACTACAATTTTAAGCAGGTACTCCATATTATGAATAACTAGTTTTTGGCTATTTGCATATGGATACGAATAAGACTACATATAGGACGACTAATACAAAAAAATATACACTAATAGATTAATCATGTTGAGACTCTTAAACAACATCTAGTTACCATGATCAATAATCATACATTATAGGTATAACATATGAAAAGCATAAAACTCAAATAAGAAGAAATTTAATGCAGTCTTTACCTGTACAAAAGGTCAATTACTTAACTGAATACTCTAAATAATTTCATTTTGAGTACAAGGTAGTTTATGATTTGTAGTCATATACACAAGCAGCTTATACATGATCGATTGTTGAAAATCATGTGAGAATTTAATTTTTGAAACCCTACACCAATCATATATGAAAAAGGCTAATATTTGAAAAAGTGGGATTTAGTGAAAAGTAAAGGTTACAAGAAAAGAGCGTAGACTTATGTAGCCATATAAGATGATAAGAAGTTGGATATACTAATTTTTGAGAGATGAGAGTTCCTCCTTAGCTTTTCCAGAAAGAGCCATGATCGTGAATAGTTAGCTACCATGTTTATATGCTCTGCTTATGACTTTTGTTTCATCTTTAGATCGAGTTTTCCAGCCAATTTGTGAAAAATTCTGTAACAATAATCATTCCTTTATAAGACTCTCCTCCTACTGATGTCTTTGAATAAGTGACATATCAAAATTCAGTAATATGTAATTGTCAAGTTTTATATGAATTTATTGGTTAAGTTAATTAGAGTTATCGTGTATTTGTGAGAGTTTTGCATTCTAGTACTTTCACCCTTTGTGTTAATTGGTTCAACTTATTTAAGGAATTGAAACAAAGTAAATTGAATTGAAATTGATTTATGAACTTTTTACACTTCCAATAATCTAAAATTACTAGGAATGAATCAAAGTATGAAGGGGAAAATCTCACTCCACCTGATATGCTAACATATCAAACATTACGCATATTGAACCATATTTTAACGTCCACTCTTGTAATAACACTATTAGGAAAATGGTTTTGCTTATAAGCTAACAAAACAATTATTGAAGTACCTTTGACTTGGGTAAAATATTGGCTTACTTAGTATTACTAAAATATCTAGGTAACTATTAATAAACAAAATAACATATCCAACACAAAAGGGAAAATAGAAACAGATTTACAATGAGTGACTAAAGCTATGATTGTACTTCAAGTTTTCCCTGCAAAAAAAACATGTGCAAAAGTTCATAATAATTAATTAGCAATGTAATTGATAGCAAAGCTTATTTTTTGGGTCTTTATTAAGTAGATCAAAACCCCCACATATTCGTATCATATTAAATTGTCAACTTAAGAAAGGAGAGAACATTTTCAAACATGCCTATTAAAATCATGTAGTAAAATTTTCAACTTAAGAAAGGAGAGAACATTAAGTCGCTGATCACTCCGAGCCAATCAAGTTGCTTCTAACACTACTAACTCAGTACCAAGCACATGTCTTTTCTTCTGCATGATCTAATAAATCAAATCTAAACCATTAAAAAATATGAACATAAAAAAATAGATAGGTTGCGTTGATAGTGAAGCTTCAAGGAGAGGAAAACAAAGAAAACATGCGTAAGAGGCTATGAATGCAATTGGGTCCACACGAGAAGGGAAAGCCAAAGAGGGGGTTACTTGGAGCAAAAATAAGTTACACATTGAAAGATTATTAATTAAGGAATAAGAAGATAAAAAGGAGAGGTGGCGATGTAAAAGTGCGACATGTGGCGTTCCAAAGTGGAATATAAGAGATGTGTCATTTTGGGTCTTTATTTTTATATACTAGGTAGTGAAGTGATTGATATACAATTGTTTCATCTTTCTTATCTTCTGCGTGTTGTTATTGCTTGCTTGGATCACCTGTTGTCTTTCTTCAATTTTTTTACTTTTGAGGTGTTTGTTTCCAGCATACCAATCTGAAATTTACGGAAGTTACTGCTGCATCAGAGGACTGGGATTCGGATACCGTAGAGAGAATTCATATTAACTTCATTGCTGCTTCCTCCGATGGTGATTTTCAGAGTCTAATTTTTGCTGAATTGATAAATGATCCCCTCCTGCATCCGGATTCGTCTGGATATTACGTGCAAGGGTGCTGTGTGATAGAGAAGGTTGATTCTGGTATGTATGTATGTATGCATATTTATTTAACAATATATTTATGCACTAGTTTGGGATTTTAGTAATGTCGAATTGAAATTAAACTAAATTAATTAAATTAAATTAATTAAACTAAATAAAATTAAACTAAATCAATTAAATACCTTGAAGCTCACTTCAACAAGCTTTGCCCTTCCCACGAAGTTCAGCATCCTGGCCGTCGCTATGGATATCGAATTATCTCAGGAGATGTGTTTAAGGGTTATAGCTTCTGGGATTATCATCCCGTTGCATATGAGAAGCGGCCTCATCCCAAGTTTAAGCCATTGCCAATGCCATCTGCAGAATTGGCAATATACGTTGCTTCTGCCAAGAAGGCATTACACTACTTCAATTCTAAGCAGCAGCAGCAGCAGGTCATCTTTTCTTTTGCCTTGATATCCCACTCTTTTAGTAAGTTGCAATAGCTAGTATATTTGGATCCTAAACAGATTATGAACTGGGTTTTATATGGAAGCTTTATCTATTGTCATGGATAATTGTCATTTATATATATATATATATATATGTGTGTGTGTGTGTGTGTGTGTGTGTGTGTGTGTATGTGTGTTTATATATATATATATATATATATATATATATATATATGTGTGTGTGTGTGTGTGTGTGTGTGTGTGTGTCATGTACACTGCATCATAATATCATGTTACTGCTTCTATATCATGTACATAGTTAGGTATACAACGCAAGTGTCCCTGCATATGAAATGTGAAACATTCACACGCTTCTGTTTATGTATTATGAATATGGTGTTGCATGTTTTGTCATCTGTCGGTATTGACCAACATATATTTATGCGTGATAACTAACCCAAGTCAAGGTATTGTTTCAGCTTACCACATTCAAGGACGCAGAAGCCACTGCAGGAGCTCATTATATGACAGAAGATGATGGAACGGTTGTTCACATCAACTTCATGGCTCAGTCGATGAGTGGATCTCAGCAAGGGTTGTTCTTCGCTATTTTGTCAATCCCACCGTTTGACGTTGAATGTGACTGGGACGATTGGAAAGAGCCCTTTGTCAATGTGGAAGGTTGTTGTCGATTGAACAAGGCTGATTCTGGTAATGATGCTTACATTTTCAAATTCGATCTTTTTCAATTTTAGACATTTCATGCATTTCCAACTTGAATTGACTATAAAATTCGACTCTCTAACGCATGAAAAGGAAATCCGTTTGGTAGAGATTGTAAGCTTTGCAGAATTTTCAATGTTGGAAGAGTTATTCATCCCAGTCCAAGAGATGGTTACATTGCTGCTGAGGGAGATGACTTTGCTGATTATGATTTTATGAATATGGGCAGTGGTATCTACTGATGAGTAGTGGTATCTACTGATGAGTTTGCACGGGTGGCTTTTATATTTATGTGTTGGGCAGGTGATATGATTTGCATGTGTAAAGCTTTTGGGATAATATTTATATTTTTTGTCTTAGGGAAAATGCCACTTTATTGCATTTTAAAAGGAATAGTTGATACTGATGCATGCTTTTTTATTTGTAAAATTATGTCTATTATGTGTTTCCATTATTACATTATGTCTTCTTAGGTTACATTCATGTTCATTATGTCTGGTTAGTTTTAATTATGTCAAGCTACATTATGTATTGTTAGTTTTCATTTCTTTCATTCATTTACAATTGCTCCATATTAAATATTGCACCAAAAAATGTCATCAAGTGAATGGGATGCCGCAAATTGAACAATTACTCCATTTAGTTAACAACTTAGGGACCAATTAGAAAGTATATCAATTACTCCAAAATAACTATAAGTATATGCCACAAATTCAACAACTATATTCAACAACTTAGGGATTAATTAGAATGTATATGACAGTTCTCCATATTATGTACAAGTTTTCACTTCAATTCCTACAACAAAATATAACGAACGATTAGGGTGATATCATTAATGATAATGATAATAAAAAAGTTGATAAAGATTATAGTAATGATGAGAATGGAAAAAAAAAATTACATTGATAATTACAATTGACAAGTTCATTGAAATCTACATGTACCCGGTTTGCATCTAGCTTGGTAATAATTTACCCAACCTAACACACTAGGGTGACATAAGGTTGAAGGCGATATAGGATGTATCGGGTAGGATTCTAGTTTGGTGTCATGTGGAGGTTGGGATTGAAGTTTAGTTGGTATTTGGGGTTGGTTTGTGTTGGATTTTGCTATATTTTTGCAGGTATGGTTTGCATGAAACACTTGTTTCAATGTATCAGGCTTACCCTAGTGCCTTAAGTGCTTGCATATGAAGTTGGTGTTGGATTTGAGTAATGTTGTTGGTAAATTAGAAGCTAGCTTGGTTTTGTTGCCTTGAGATCAGGTTAGCGTGGACATAGCTAGAAGAGGTATGTTATGGAGAGTGGCTAAGGGGTGAAGATTTTTGTGTGTTCGTTGTTTTGGTTCGCTTCTCTTTGATTTGACTTGAGGACGAGTAAGAATTTGAGTAGGGGGGAATTTGATATATGCTACTGTACTTTATAGTGCATGAACATGAGTTTTTATGGAGGCTGGATGCTGATTTAGTTCGATTTTCGTTGTTTGTGGTTAGTCCTCCTCATTTGCAATTTGTTGATGTGATTAGGGAGTATTAAGCAGTTATTTGGAGCTTGATTAAATAATGAACATTTGTTTGTTTCATGGTGAGGGTTTTGGTATAATTCTGGGAGTGAGGTGTGAAGATTTGGGCATTAACTAAAGGGAGGAAAGCAAAGGAAGGAGGAGGCAACAAACAGGCAGCTAGCCGCGGCTAGCTGCAGTAGGTTGCGACCTATACAGTTGTGAGAAGTCTGTGCGGCTGAAGCAGTTGGCCACTACAACGAGCAGCTGGGTGCGGATCTGGAGCAGCGGGGTGCAGCTTCTGGCGTGCACAACAAATATTTGGGTCGTTTTAGTTTATTTTGCCTTATAATCTACTACGTATTATTTATTTTTCTTTGGAGGATAGTATATAAGAACTCAATTAATTAGCTTTGAGGTTAAGGAGAAAGTAGAGGAAGACATCGTTGTTCATATTTTTGAGGAGTTCTCTCAACTTTCATGGAGAACTAAACCTTGTTCCTCTTGGATCAATTAAATTGAAGCTTTTTGATTAATATAGTTGTGAGATATCTCTTCTTTTATTCCTTCTTGAATATTAATTATTCCTGTACTCTTATTTATATGATTGATATTTATTATTTTCCGGATTGATCAACTAGCTAGAGATTTATATCGTTTGATTGCTAGCTAGATGTGATTGTTGAATCCGTAATTGTTCAAACTTTCTTATCAAAGTAGCAGCATTTAATTGTTTTTTTTTTTTTTTTTTTTTTTTTTTTTGGTGAAAAGCAGCTTTTAATTGTTAAATCTCGTTTCTCTTTATTAATAATAGAAGGAAAGAAATTGTTTGCAACCACTTGTGTTGAATTCATCATACTTTATTGGTTTTGTTATTCTTAATGTGGCTATTAAACTGAAATTGAGTGTGTTCTTGGTTTGTATGATAGTCAGGGTTATTGATGAATGTTTTTCTTTGTTAATAACTTGTGTTATTGAGAAATTGGGTATTTTGATTCCACAATAAAGTATTCAAGGGAGTTGAATTGAAGTGATTTATGTGATCGATATTAAATTGACCAACAATTGTTACTTTAAAATATTCAAGGGAGTTGAATTGAAGTGATTTCTGTGATCAATATTAAATTGACCAACAATTGTTACTTTAAAATATTCAAGGGAGTTTAATTGAAGTGATTTCTGTGATCGATATTAAATGGACCAACAATTGTTACTTTAAAATATTTAAGGGAGTTGAATTGAAATGATTTCCTAATTTTCATCACTCGATTGTTCATTATTTTTAGTTTAATTAGTTTACTTACTATTTGAACCCTATACCTTCCCCATTATTGTTACTTCAAACTTTTGATTCGTTAGGTGTTTCTTTCATTAACATACATTAGAAGATTCCTTTTTCCTTGTGAATACAAACTTTACTTCCCTAATTACCAGCATATTAGTGTCAAGTAGCGATTTAATCTGGTGCATACATGACTAAAGCTTACCATGGAGCTTTGTTATGAAGTCATTGCAGGGTTTATAAGTGATTAGAAATCTCACCATATTAGTAGATTTAATTGATGTACATGATACTTTCACCGGTTAATTTTGTCTTATCTATTTTGAGAGTATATTTATCTAAGCTTTTAATTGTTTCACTCGGGAGGAAAGTCTTCTAAATATTCTTGTGTTCATTTAATTTCTTATCTTAGTTCTTTTACCAACACATCCCAAGTCTAGTGGGAAAATTGTATGGCAATTAGATCACTTAATCACATGTTGCTTAACGGTGGACATATATTCCATATTTCATACACTCAATAGAATTAGAGTGTCCCTTGTATTAACTATTTCATACGACATTTTTCACTATAATTATTTATGCATAAAGTCTTCCTATGGATTTCCTTACTTTATAAAAAATAAAATAAAATAAAATAAATAAATAAATAAATAAAAAATAAATTGATGCAATTATTGCTCTCTCTGATAAGTGACAACAAATTGCTCCTGAAAATAAATTCACAGAAAAGAATTTGCATTGTATTCATTTATATTGAAGTTTAAATTAAGGTTACAATGAAAACTAGAATCTTATGGAGGAAACAAAACTTCCAATATACTTTGTACTACAAAAGCTCTACACTTCAAACTTTCCTGGTCTATCCCTAGGTCGTGTACAGTAACTAAGATCAATGATAATGACAATTTTTTTGCACTCGTTGAAGAATCGCCCAAGACCCACAAGCGCAGCGTGAGGAAACATATGTACACAATCCAAAATTTGTGTAACAATATATATACATCCATGTCCCAACTATCAGGTTCTGTCAAAGTTAACATGATGCAGGTTCATCACAAGCTTCACTCTGAATTTTACAGCCAAAGCCACTTCTTTTAGGCCATTAATATGCTTTGACAATGGTACAAATTGAAGGTCACAACATTCTATTGCGTGTATCGATCATTGGAGTTCTCTCCTGCAGCTAAGAGAACAAGGAAGAAAAATGCAAAATGAAATTAGCAATCAATTTAACTTTGGAAGATTCATTTAGTGAAGGGTATGATATAAACAGGTCCTCAGCCCAACTAAAGGTAACTCTCTAGACCTTGACTGGAGAGAGAGAGAGAGAGAGAGAGAGAGAGAGAGAGAGAGAGAGAGAGAACCTCAATCGGTATGCTGCTTTCAGAAGGGAACCAATGCATAAGAACTCCCAAATGTGTCAAAGCCGGCATCAATTTAAACAGGATAGGAGTGGTAACCTTCAGTAAAAACAAGATTTAGCTGCAGAACTAGGTTGTAAAAGCTAGACAAGCTTTTTAGGCACTGTAAATAATCATCAGGAAAAGTAACAGTAAATGTTATCAGAAAAAGCTTACCAAGCTAAGAGCAGTTGTTCCAAGAAGTAAAAGATACATTGTCCCCTATAAAAAAAAAAATAAAAAATCTGTAAGTCGCATTAAAAAATAACTATACAGGAGGAAAGTTGCTGCTAGCCACCTTTACTGAAATAAAAGAGAAAAAAACTGGAGTATTCCCAAGTGGAGGATGAAAAGGCACAGCCCCAAAAGAAATGAGTAGAAATAAACAAACTCATTTTGATGCATCCAGCTTTTAGCATTATTATCTCTACCAATGTAGCCTAGCAGAAACTACAAGTAGCACTCTAGGAAATACCACACCAAGCAAAAGAGGCAATGCAGCACTGAACAAATGCTATCAGAGTAATCAGACAAAACATGCACAAAATAGACTATTGCTGCAAGGGCTTGGGAAATTCATAATGTATACAACCTTAATCTTCACCATTCAAACTAACAAACAAGTTTACCACCAAAGAAAAACTTAATGATAAAAAAAGCAGGATCATTCATAAATTAAGAACAAACACAGGATAGAGCTCAATACTAGAAAGACCTTTCACAAATTTGGAATACTTCTAACCGTTCTTGGTGTCAGCATTGTACTAGAGATATCCACCACATTTCAAAAAGGAATATAAGGAAACAAATAGCACTGTGATAGTGTTGCAAAGCCCTTGATTTTTCCAAACAATCAAAGAAAACAGATACAGCGAAAGCGTTTTTTATTTATATAGAAAATAATATTGAAAAATGGAAAATATTTTGCAGAAAACAAGGAGTGCCCCAACCTTAACAAGAATAATTGTCTATCAACCACATTGGCAACATTTTAAATATACTCTAGATAAACACCAAATTTATGCAAGGGATTCTCAGAATAGAGAACAAAAAACAGATTAATCATCCATTACCAGTTTCCAGCCACACATGTCCCCAAAATAGCCAAGCAAGCTGATTTTCAAGATATGAATATACGATGCAAAAAAACAAACATTATGTTTTTTATAAAAAAGAGAATACCTCGATAAGGTGAAGATTTGAAGCACGGCTTAGAAGAACAAAAGCGAATTCTCCAATTTGAGCAAGTGACAATCCAACCTGTTTGTGTCATTTCAACATAAGTCAATTTTGTGCAAGCTCTCTACCTTTATAATAAAAA